GTTGCAATACAGGAGCAATGCATGTCCTTTGGATTTCTCTGCCATTCTCATTCATGCTCGTACTCTAAAGCACGAGTGATTGTTTGCTCTATTTAGATTCCTCTTTCCTCCTTTTCTTGCTTGTCTGCGTGTCACGTCACTTGTGCGTTGTCTGCCAATTTGTTTGCTTTGTTTAAGCCACACAACAACAACAATAATAACAACAATAACAACAAAAGCAAACACACCAGCTCAAGATGAAGATGCGAACGTCTATAAACCATTACATTTCAAACGCACCCGTCTTAACACACACTCACACACACACACACTCACAAACACACACATGCAGCCATAACAATTTTTTTTCGCTCGTTTGCCTAGAATTGCGCTCCGCATATAAAACAAATTTCAATAGTTGTGCGTGAACTATCAAATGCCCTAAATCGGTATAAAGTTTACGTGTATATATAGGAAAAAAAAAGGATTGAAATCAGCATTGTATAACTATATTAAAATAGAAGCGAAATACTGTCTGAACGTATAAGTCCTCTCTCAAAAGCTGCGGTCAGAAACGTAATAATTTTGAACTGATATTTGTGCCTCTCATATGACAACTATATTTTGGCATACAATTTAAGTTCTCTCTCTCTCTCTCTCTCTCTGTTAAGCTGCGATCAGAAAGGCAATAATTTTGAACAGATATAACTACTAATTGTACATTCAAGTGTGCCTTTCAAATGATGGTATACAATGTAGTCACCATATATTACATACTTAAGAAACAAATAAACTTTTTTAATTTTTCATTCATATTTATGTTAGTACGAATTTGAAATCTTTAACAAAACTATACAAAACCTGTTTTGAATGCTTGTATTTGTTTTTCTTTATGAATAGTGTTTTTAAATGGAAGATCCGCCATAGGACTTTACTGTTTATTACCGTGCTGCTCAAATGTATTCTATGTATCATCTATGTGAAGGATACATATTATTGTTATGACTACAAAGTAATAAAGTTCATCCTGACGGGTCACTTGAATATAAAATTAAATTTTAAAATATTCGATGCGAAATTCTTCCTAATGTAAACAATTATAATCAAGGGAAATCAATGCAACGAAAAATGAATAAATTTGTATTTCTACGTAAGCTGTATACACGGAAATTTTGGTTTAGATTGAATAAAAGAATGTGTAGAATATGTGAAAAAAAGTCAAAACATTTTTTTTTTTTCAATTGCATTTTACTGCAATGCAAAATTATCCTTTCGATTTCATTCATATACATATGTATTTAAACTTGCCTAATAGGCAGTAATGCCACATAATAATGTGTATAGTACACGCTGGATTTGACATTCATGTTGTAAATAGGTCCTAGGAATTCTTCCCATTTCATTTTTTGTTACCGTTTTGAACACTATTTCCTAAGAATCTCGAAGGAGGATAATCGACATACTCTTGGATCTTTAGGGCAAAAGGTATTAGAAGGAAAGCGACGTTGCGGCTATGTGGTAACACTTTCCAATGCCTCCTCAGGCTGCAGGCTTTGACGCAGCCCAATCAACATGGCCGCACCCGGCTCTGCCTTTGTCGCTGTCTGTAGTTGTGAGTCTTTATGGTTGTAATTCCAAGTCGTTGCCGCTGTTGCCGCAACTGCTGTCGTTCGTAATGTTTGCATTACTTTGCTGATGGCTTATAGTCTCTAATGTTAAATGTGCTTAAGCTCGCCATTGGTACTGCACAAGCGTTTCCCGTTTGCAGTAAATACAAAGTGTTAAATACACGAGGCTTCGGGGCGTAGAGTTCATCGGCAAGCAATATAGCGCGCACAGTAAACCTAACCCAGCCAAATCGCAATGAGCGCCAAGCAAATATAGCAGATATTAAGCTCGACTAAGCGCAACAAAGGCGTTGCACACACAATATCGTGCCAGCCCTATATACATACACATGTATGTATATCCATTTAAGCCATCGCATCGTCTATGGATACGTGAGATCCGCATACAGACAGATATAGCATAGTATATGTAGATACACGTACTCGTCGATACCCGTTTTGGCGAGGTGTGTGTGCTTAATGCACTCAAACAGTTTATTTATTGAACTGTGAATAAATATTTTGCCGTGCATAAAGTTCGAGTACCTTCGAGAAATGAAGCGACGGCTTCTTGATATCACGAGTCCCACATACAGCCACACCCATGGCCACTACTAGGCAACCAGACAATCAGTCATACTGACAGTCAGTCAGTTGGTAAGCTATACAAATCGATAGACACTTGAGGCATTGCTGTTTACTTTGTAGTTTGGCTTTAATTCCGCTTACAACTCACATTTTACCTTTTTCTTCCTCTATTTCTATCTACTCATATATATGATTTCTCAGCAATCGTATGGTCTGTAATTATATATAGGTGCTGTGTAGCTGAGTGTGTGCAACCCAATTCGATAAATGTGCGCGTCTGCTCAAATGGACTTACGGGCTATTGACTTGAAGATTCGTTTCTGGTCTTTGAAAGCGAGGGTGAGCCGGAAACAGCAGGCTGTTTAATGAATAGGAATATCAACAGAAAGACAGATATGTAAGAACAAAGGTTTGATTTCTCAATAAAATCTAATATTTTAAAATAGAAGAATGACTGAGATTTAAAAATTGTAGACCTAATACAATACATTATGTCTGAGACAGGAGACTGTTTAATGAATAAAAATATCAACAGAATTACAGATATGTAAGGACAATAGTTTGATTTCTCAATAAAATCAAATATTTTAAAATAAAAGAATGATTGAGATTTAAATTATTTTAGACCTATTACAATACGTAATATCGGAGACATTTGGTCAAAAAAAAAAAAAAACAACAGGATATTGTTTAATGAATAAGAATATCAAGAGAAAGACAAATATGTAAGAACAATAGTTTGATTTCTCCATAAAATCAAATATTTTAAAATAGAAGAATGACTGAGATTTAAATAATTTTAGACATAATACAATACATTATGTCTGAGACAGGAGACTGTTTAATGAATAAGAATATCAAGAGAAAAACAAATATGTAAGAACAATAGTTTGATTTCTCAATAAAATCAAATATTTTAAAATAGAAGAATGACTGAGATTTAATTAATTTTAGACCTATTACAATACGTAATATCGGAGACATTTGGTCAAAAAAAAAAAAAAACAACAGGATATTGTTTAATGAATAAGAATATCAAGAGAAAGACAAATATGTAAGAACAATAGTTTGATTTCTCCATAAAATCAAATATTTTAAAATAGAAGAATGACTGAGATTTAAATAGTTTTAGTCCTACAAGTAGCACAATACATTAGTATGTCGGAGACAGGAGACTGTTTAATGAATAAGAATATCAACCGAAAGACAGATATGTAAGAACAATAGTTTGATTTCTCAATAAAATCAAATATTTTAAAATAGAAGAATGACAGAGATTTAAATCATTTTATACGTAATACTATACAATATACAATAGACATAAAATATATATAATTTGGTATAATTTGAAAAATGAGTCTACAAGCTTTAGTTAGTTCTTAGAATTGGAATGGGTTATTATCGAAAACGAAAATTCATAAACTTCCATTAGTATTGGCAGATGAGTAAACGTTCGCTCCTTCTGCGCACACTGGCCGGATTAGCAAAAGTTGGGACATAAAATAAAATGCGGTTCTTAGGGACTTCTACAGTTGATTGTAATAATATATATAAAAATTGGAATGAAAATTGCTTTTGTAGGTTTTAGAATCCTAGCTATTTTTGCAGCTAAGATGAACAAATGAAATAAGCCAGTATTAATGACCTTCAGTAGATATGATACTCTATTGAACTACCCTCGCACGCGGCCTGCCAATCTCAAGCTTTGCGTTCTCCAGAGGCTACATTATGTCGGAGACAGTTGGGCAGAGGAAACAAAGCGTTGCTCTTAAAAAGTGGACAGCAGCAGTGCATATTCCGGCGTATCCCGATTCGCCATCTATCCATCTATTTATACATCTACATATATCTGGCTAACTGGGGGGCGCAGCTGCTTTCATTAGAGCTGAGTGCGTTGGTTAGTTAGTGGGCGAGTGAGTCAGTCTGTGAGTCAGTCGACTGGATGTATTGGAGGGCCTTTTTATTTTTATGTGACCAGCATTCGAAAACCCCCGTCCCTCGTTATTGCCCCGTTCGGGCACTCAGTTAGCCAGGGGGAGGAAGGAGGATGAAGCAGCCCTGGACGTCCTCTCTGTAAAAAGGCTCTTCAGCTTTATCGCTGTAATCAATTGTCTGCATTTGAATAGTTGACAACCGATTTATGGACCATTGAGTGAGCAGCAGCAGTGACGACCCCTCCCCCCTCTCTGTCCATCCCGCACACTTTCTCTCGCTCTCATTTCTTTTGTACTTGTGGTCGCCTGTTTGGCATACCTTGTCCTGCCGCCTCTGACTGCCTTCGATCTCGACTTGGGCGGCAATTTTTTCGTCTCCTTTTTTGTGTTTGTGTGCGCAGTATCCTTTGCGGAAATCAAGTGGAATGACCCGCACACAATTTCTGTGTGGCTTGCTCAAGACCAGTGTTGGTGTTGTAACTTCTGTTTTTGTATGTTTTACGTAATTTCAGAGAAAAGCCGGAAATGGCTAGGAAATTGAACCAACAATAACAGCGGCAGCCAACAAGAGCAACAACAGCAACTGCCATCATGCACGAATAAGAATAATAACGAAAACGTCAGACGTGGCGGCTGTTCATCAGCCACTCGGACATTCGGTCAGTGCCCACAGACCCCTCTCTCCCCCCCTTCCCGCACTATCGTACAGTCAGTGGCACACATAATGTACTGTCAAGTGTTTTTGACCTTTTTCTCTGTTTCTCGGCCTCGTTGGGCCATTTTATATATTTGAGCCTGTCATAAGAGGCAGCGGCAATGCATCCTTTTTTGGCAACTTGCCTGTTTTTCAAAATTTGTGTCTCGGGCTTCGACGACAGTCGCAATTACCCACCAGCTGCTGTTGTTGTCACCAATGCCCGCCGCCATTTCGCGTCCCCAGCTTGGGTGTATTTAATATTCAACGCAAATGAGATGCGTCTGGTAAACTCTTTCTCACACACACACACACACACACATACAGGCGGCGAAGGAAAAGAGTTCAAGTTCATGCCATTACCGTTAACACAAATGTATTCGATAGCCTTAAAGCCGCTTCTGGCTTTTGTTTTCATGAGGCATTAAAGAGCTTTTATAGCACGCTCTTAGATGCTTGTCTAGATGACTATGGCAGCTAATTAAAACCATTTTGATGAAAAGCGCAGAATAACAGTTTCTAAGTTGCAGTTAATAGTAAAGGAGTTGACACATTTTAGTCGAACATTAATTTAATCCAGAGATTAGGGCATGCGTTGTCAGATATAAGGCTTGATTTGATTCTAAAAGTGCCAACGTAATTAGCTTAAGGTGTGAGATTAAATAAGTTCATAAATGATGTCAATAATATTTGAATGTATAATAGAACTTGCAAATATGAAAGAAACCATAATTAATAACAATTTTTTGTGAATTTCGGAATGAAAAAGAAAATAAGTGTTGTGATCGCATCTTGCATAAATATTTGCAAGCATTTTATTTAATTTGGTTAAAGTTTGATTTGATTAAATATATAAATTAGCAATTTGTTAGATAAAAACTATTCTTCGTGTATATCTTTTATATTTACATATCCAGATAGTCGTTCTATTAAATACAAGAAATTGCTTTAAGTTTTTATAATATACAAGTACTTAGTTTGAAGTTCCCACAATAGTTAATAAAGTAGCTATAAATATAAACAATTAACACAAATAGTATTTCTGTATTTGAATAGCAAATTAATATTAAATATAATTTTGTTGTCTTCCTCTTCTTAAGTTGAATGCAGACGGTGTACTTAATATGTTGTCTGTTTATTTTGAATATATTTTTGAGGTTTTTTGTATTCAAATAATACACTTCTGTTTTGATTTATTTTAGCATTTCAATTATTTTATATCGTAAATATGAGAACTAAAGGAATGTAATTGTCGTTAAAAAAAAAAACAGCTGAGCTCTGGTTGAAATGTAAATAATTTACCTTCATTTCTAGCCGTTGAAGCTCAACTGAATGTTGTACAAGTATAAAAAATGTAATTTTTTTGCTGCATATACATTTCTGGAGTACTCATCTGTTGGGCTCTGTAGGTAGACTTGAAGCCAACTTAATGCAACTTTAATACCATTTACATGCACAGACACTGGCAGGCAGATCCCATGGGATTTTTGTGGCCGGCTTTTGCATTTGGGTTAATGTGGTAGTTGTGTCTCTATGGCAGATTGATGTCAAACCCTGTCTTCGTGCTCATGTCAGTCAATCATGCTGCGCTTGTAGCCGTAGCTTTCATCATTGCATTGCGGTAACGGGCACATTTTGTCAACGACTTGGAAGGAAATGTGCTGCTCGGATGCTGTCCAACTACTACAGCCACAGCTTTGGCATTAGCTTCAGCTTCAGCTCTGGTGGTGCTGTGCTGTTCTGCTCGGCAACCGGCTGCAATGCACGTTGTCAAGAAAAATATGCCAACGTCTTCGTTGCTTTCGCTTAGATTGGCATTGTCATAAAATGTCGCACACCCACTCAAGCATCCACAACATTACAGCGAGACACACAAAAATGCACAGAGAGGCTGTGATTCAACATTATACTCACTTCCATGTACGGATGAGTCTGTAGAATTTTTCGCCTCCACATCAGCCTGAGCCTCAGCGTCGGCCTGACTACGTGCATTCGTCGTTGGCTTAGAAAATGAATTGCACTTTATTGTTGGCATTTTTCATGTGGCTGCCACCGGCAACGCCCTCACACACACATACACACATACACACACACTCACTGCCACCAACGCCGACACCCTCACCACCATGCTTATTCCCAGAGTTCTACTCTGCAGTCACGTCCTTGGTTTTAAATAGTTAAATAGCTTGGGCCATTTCGGAATCAAGTGCGAAAACCACAAACGTGTTGCTACTCTTCTCTGCACTCGGACCACAAAACATATTTATTCCTGGCCAGTATCAGCATCAGTTTCTGGATACTGCTTATATGCATGTATATAAAGTATCCACCGCAAAGAAAAATTCAATCAAAATTGTTGCCATTTAGTTTGACATTTCATTCAGATGGCTGCAAGCAAATGATGATTAAGTGCCAGCGAGCTCTAGAGCAACGATTGGGTGTGGTCGGTGTGGTCCTTGAGTCCCCCATCGTGTTTGTCGCCTTGCCAGCAAATTTCAGCTCTGTACTGTTTTTTCTTTTCTATGGAGTGGCAAGTGCTGCACAAGCATTTTTGCTGCATATTTGCCTGAAAATTTGCAGCAAAAAAAGAGAGAAGGAAAGAAAGAATGAAGGGGGAGCGTGGGAGAGAGGAAAACCAAAATTGTCAAACTGACCACCGCAAGCTGTGGGCACTGTTTGCCCGATTCGCATCTTCTGTGCACTTTGGCTGGACTATCGAGCAAATTGATTTTGTTGTTGTAGTTGTTGCTGCACTGCTCTCTGGCTGGTGATAAGAATTTGAGTTTTGCTTTTTCGCTGCTGCTGCTGCTGATGCTGCTCCAGAAAGTGTAGCATGCAACGTATATCGCTACTACTCTGGGCCGAGCTGATGGTGGGTGTAGCGGCTAAGCGGAGCACGCGCTTGTTCCGGCTACGGCGGTCGTCGGCAATATGGGGGTGGTTCTTCTTTATGGCCGCAGTGCTACCTGCTCGATCGCTAATATTTAATGCCATTAAAATTCGCGTGCTTTTATTTACCTTTTTTTTTTTTTTTACTGATATTTTGTTTTTTGGTATGTCTGGAGGAAAGTATTAGAACGGAAAAGAAAGCGAGTACGGAAAAACTAAATTGTCGTTGTAAAGGGTTCTACCTCTGGTCTCTGCTGCGCTGCTGGTGTTGCGTCAGCAGGTTCGGTGCCCACCCTACCATGATCACCTTTGGCCGCAGGTCGAAACCGGTGATCCCTAATATTACCAGAACCTACGTCAAAAACCCACCTCTCGTCATGGCTTCTAACAAATTACGACACGTTAAAACATCCTGGTGTAACTATTCATTTAATTTAAATTTTGAATAAAATTCATTTAGATAACTATTCGTGGTGGTTAACCATACAATAAAAACAATTTCAACCTTGCTTATCAATTGTACAAATTCATATAAAGATGTATATAATGTAAAGGCAAATAATAAAATTTATAAAATAATAAAAATTATGGTTAACAATTTAAAAATTCAAAGGTACAGGTGCAGCATCAGGGCAAAATAATATGACTGGCAACTTTAAATAATTTAAAGGAACTTTTCCATATTCAAAATTAAATTCTTTTAATTATAAATTTTTTTGTAATTACTATAGACAGCAAGTGGCCTGCCGTATGCAGCGAACATATGACAAACAATATATTTATCGTAATAATAATTCATATATATATATTGTTTGCCGGTTTGCAGCACCCGCGCATTCGCCCTCAAACACAAACAACAAAAAGGAAAAAAAAAGCTCTCTCAGAGAGGCGGAGTAAATAAGTAAAGCGAGTACTCACATTCACAGCTGGTGGATCCACGTCCAAAAGATCTTTTGTGAGCGGCGGCCAGCTGAAAAGCAGAACAATATTACGCGAGAGAGGCGGCGGCGTCAAAGCAAATTGCTGTACATTTTTTTTTTTCCACTATATTGGTGGTGTTAAAACTTCTTTTCACTTTTGCCTTGCGCTAGCTCATATTTTGGCTTCTGCATATACATACACTGGTCGGCACAATTATTTTGACGAACTGTACTCACGACTATCGGTGCTGGTTGCTTTTAGTTTCAAGGAATAACGGTACAATTTTCATACGGGATATAGAGTTCATAGCAACAACAATATGTAGGCAAAATATTTTGCCTATTACTCTTCACACCTTCTTTCTACAAATGACAATGTGAGTTGACTGCGGATTCAGGCACGGCATAAGTATTTTGACCAAATCTTTGTCGCCGTTTTCGCGTACGTTTTATCAAGTGATACTAAAATAACTTTGGTGTAACAATTTTTGTTGACCTTTTTACATTATTTTCATTAAAATTTGATTCAAAAGTAATCGATACAATGGTAAAAAAGACAGAATTAAGTTATGTTGTTAGAGCCTCAATAGTGGCGAAGTTTAATGCCGGCGTAGCACCAAAAGACATTGCAAATGAATATAATTTGTCGCGGCAAACAGTCCACTATCAAATTAACAAATATAAGACCCACAATCACGTCAAAAACTTGCCTAGATCAGGTGCTAACCGCAAAACAACACCCATTGAAGATCGAGTCCTATTGCGGGAATTTAAAAAAAATATTCATTTAAAGCCGCAAGCTGCTGCAGATCAATGGAATAAGTCGACCAAGACTCCAATCAGTGAGCGTACTGTTCGGCGACGCCTAAAAGAAGTAGATTTTAAGACATACAAAGCGAAGGACATACCTTACATATCAAAGGTGAACAAGCTCAAAAGATTGGCTTTTGCAAAGGAGCATCTGCATAAGCCAAAAGAGTTTTGGAGAAGCGTTCTATGGACAGATGAAAGCTCCTTTGAATACAATTCATCAAAAACAAAGATTTTTGTAAGGCTCCCACAGTTTCAAAGACAAAAAAATATCCCCGTATGTCAAAAAGTGAGCCATGGCGGAGGCTCAGTCATGTTCTGGGGATGCATTGCGTACAATGGGTTAGGTGATTTCGTTCCCATCACCGGCTCAATGAACCAGCAACAATATTTGAGTACCCTTAACGAAAACGCATTCCCTTCCGGTGACAGGCTGATTGGAGAATCATTTATCCTGCAACAGGATAACGCCCCATGCCACAAAAGCAAAATGATAAGAGCATTTTTAACCGATGTTGGTGTTACTACTCTGGATTGGCCACCACAAAGTCCGGACTTAAACGTTATTGAGAATGTGTGGTCTCTTGTAAAACGTAAAAGAAATGCGTCTTTGC